ATAAAGTTTGTAAACTTTTTTTTTAATTAATGAAATCATATGTCATACAAAAATATATCGGAGCAATGAAAATATTGTATTATATTAATAAATACTATCATTAGTATTATATTTTTTAAAAAGTTATAACATATCAATATCGTATTCAGTTTAAATTAAGAATACTAAAAGATATTATAAAAAAAAACTCTTATCACTAATTCCTAGTTTCCTTAAAAATTTTCTTTTTTGATATTATTTTTGAAAATCAAAAAATCAACTTCTAATATCTAAAAAAAATATAGTCTAAAAACAACAATATCTTACCACCAAACTTTAAATATACTATATTTCTTTGTAATAACAATTACTGTATAAGTATTAAAGGAAAATTATTACAGCATAGTTTTTTTTTACAAAGAAAGAAACTTTAAGAAAACTGATTTACAGTAAGCTTTTAAAGGCTTAATCTCAACTTCACAAAGCTTTCAACCAGGTTAGTATAGGTTAACACCTTTATTGACACTAAGAGAAGCATTATAGGCAATAAATCAACTAATAAATTAGTTAAAGCTCAAAGATCATAACACCTAGGAGGATGTTCAAGCTTCAATTACTTAATAGTAGAAAGTATATAAACAACATAGAAACAATCCATATTTAGGATTACATAATGTGAATATTTCATATTTATTAGCTTGAATAGCAATTCACTTACATATCTAATAAATAACTTGCTTATATATTTATATTTTATACTTATAAGTGATAATAGTTGTTAACAATACAATAGACCTAAAAATAGTAATATAGCTTATAATCAATATAATAATAACTTGTTTACATAAATAAGAGTAAATAAATAAAATAAATAAATAAACAAATAGTACTACTTAAATAAGTAAGAATAACTATTATGTTAGAAAACTCTAGAATTATTTAAAACATCAATTAATAAATCAATACTATATATAGCAATCTATTCTTCATATTATATAATCAACATATCTATGAAAAAATACAAACTCCTATAGGTCACTAAGAAAAGAGAAGTATATATCATAGAAACTTTAGTTTAGCCAATAGACAAGTATAATAAATAAAGAAATTATAAGCTTTGAAACCTTTTTAAATATCACTTCAACTAAAGAAACTATTATAAACCCAGTTCCAGGTCCAACTAAATACTCAAATATTGATAGTATTATTATTAGAATTCTGAATGTTAATTATAATCTTTATTAAAGCCAAGGTTCTTAGACAACATATTTTCTACTTATTAATTATAGAACAAGAAAAAGAAAAAGATTTTTTAGCTCACTTTTTAAAAGAAAAATACAGGGATATGATAGAATAGACAAAATAAATACAATACACATTACAATTATTGCTAACAAATTAATCAATAGTTAGGAGAGATTCTCCTACTAACAATTTACTCTATAAGGTAATAGCTATAGAAGTTTAAGCAACTACATTAATTAAAATTATGATTATTATTGAAATTGAAATGAAAGACAAAGAATTAGAAGACAAACTTGTATAAAAGTCATTAATGAAAAAATTAAAGGAGGCAATATACTAAACAATAAACATATAAGACAAAAAATAGGAAAACATCTAGTATCAATTCATATAATATTAAGAAATATAGAGATTTCAAAATAGTTGTATTTATCTCAAGACTTCTAGAAGAAACTGAAATAAAACAAATAATGTATCTCTAAAACACGTTAAACTTACTAAAAGACTTTTATCTCTTTATAAAGGAATTCATCAATGGCAATACTTAGATAATATTTTGCTGCAAAGAAAAAGAAGATGCATTAAAATACCTTTAAAAAATCAACTAAAAGAAGGAAGCCAATTTTATTATCATATCCCTAGAAATGAACATGTAATCAAACTTTAACTAATTACCAAACAAAAAAGTGTTTCAAAAACAAAGGAGAAAAAGAAAACATTACTAATGATTACCTTAATAGATATTTACTGGGATTACTCATGTCAAGAAATTAAATAGTTCTCAATTAATATGAAAAATAATAAACATTTATATTTATAATCACTTATAGTTATAATACAGAATCAAGATATATATTATTTTTACAAATAATATACTGACCTTGAGAAAAAATGGACAATCTATACCAGAGTAGAAACTATTAGAGTTATTGGCCTTTTGAAAACTGAATAAAATATGAATTTACTATAGTATCTATAAAAAAACAAAATATAAATAAGATTAACCTAATAAATATATATTAAGCCTCCTTAAAAAATATAAAAGTTTTATAACAGATCTTTAAGATTCTATAAGACTCAATTAAAGCAGAACAAACTGACAAAAATAATGTTACTTGGTAACAAAATAGATGTATTTATTGAATAATGGACAGTTTAAAGATTAGATAAATCATTTATATAATAAAAATGTATTACTAAATAATTCAATAAAAATATATCTGTCAGTTAAACTAATTAATATATACTATATATATATACTTAGTTAATTTATAAATATGTGAATAATAAATATAGACAATTTTCATATATTTGAAATTTCTTTCACTATTACAGTTTTAATAATTAACTCTATTAAAAATAGAATGGCATAATAAGTATCTTCCAAGAAATATTTTTTCTATTTGGTTTATTTGATAATAAACAAATATAAAACCTAGAAATTTTTTGTATGACAATATATATAAATACAAATAAAACAAGACCAAACCTATATTAAAAATTATATTAAAAATAAAGTTTTATAACTAAACTATTATTAACTCTAATTATTTTATATTAAATTATATGTTTCAGCAATAAAATTATAATATATTCTATATTGATTAATTTAGCCTATATTTCACCACTTAAATATAAATGATTCTTTATTACTAATTAATAATCTATTTTTAAACAATTCCTATAACAATCATGAAATATTATTCCCAATGTTGTTACACACTATAAGATAACATTTTGAATATAATTTAGGTAAAATGTTCTGACTGATATGGCTAATATTAAAACGCACTTGTATTATTACAATGTAAAAATTTAATTATACAAATCAAACTCACAATAAAATTGAATCTTATTGTTCCCTATATTCAATTGTACTATATTTATATACTTTTAAAACTATTAAATTTATGCTACCCTAAGGTTTATTTTTAAATACTCATTAGGTTTCTCCTCAGAATACCTATCTTATATTGAATGTAAAACACTACAATTAATAATAATTAAATTGCATCTGTTTTATAAGGTATCGCTTTTTGCTAATACAAATTCTGATTACTATTAATCAATTATCGTCATCTTCCAGTGTTTTATTAGACGTATTCTTTTTTGAACGTGTTTTGAGTTGATCATTAATATTATCTTGACTATAAAGAAAAAAAAGATTAATATTAAAAAAAAAAAAATCAAAGATTCTAAATAATAGAAACATACAACTTGCGTTTTCCAATGGCTCTTGGTTTGGGACCCCAAAATTTCTCGGGATTCTGTTGATATCGGACCAATTTTATTTTTCTTGAAAGTGGTTCGGCATCCTCATGAATTTCAAAATCCGCAATAAAACTAATGAAAAGGGGAAAAATTGTAAATAATTTACATAAGAAGTGACAAATTTCATGAATGCAAATCCACAAAAACCTTGGCTCAATTTCTAATAATTTTTTTGCAGGAGAATTTTCTTTTATATTTTTCATTGTAACCGGATGGATTTTAATCTATAAATAAATAAATAAATTAATATATTAAACAGTACTTGATCAGTCATAAATTGCCATATATACTTGCCCATGATCGAATAATATCCCATATTACGCTCATGGGTGCATCTGTTTTTATGGATCCCGCGGCAGCATGAGACATCGAAACTTTGTGGCCCTTATTTAAAAGCGCCGAGCTACGCATAAAAACAACCAGGAACAAGGTGAATAATTATAGTAATAACACATTAATCACATCTATTCTTACCAAAAAACTTTTAATGGCGGATTTGTGCAGTGAATTGTACCGCATATACCTGCAAGGTTGTGATAAAGAGGAACGTCTATTTCCTACATACAATAACGAGATTGTAAATTTGCAAATCATATAAACTTCATATATTTCATTACACTCTTACCTCAGAAATGACAGTTAGCATACCTAACATTCTAGAGTGAGTCTTATAGGATTCTTCGCTAGATTTTTTCACATGTTCTAGCATCTTACGAACAAAATCTTTGTTGTGAAGCGTATGATTCCACATGGGACCTCCTACCTTAAAAAAAAAGCTTGATTTTTAAAATTAAATAATCAAAGTCAAAATATCAAAAAATACACAACACCTGAAATGTATTCTGGCAGTGTTCACAATATTTATCTACAATTGGTCCGGATACGGGTAAGAATGTACCTTTGCTGGTTTCTTTAGCCAGGGGTTGCATATGGTAAGAACGACATCCATTACAAACGTATAACATGGAAGTCTTACTAATAAATTAAGAAGATATGAATGAAACAATCATATTCAAACATCACGACTGTATTTAACAATATATACCATGGATTCTTTTTTACTTCAGAAGCTGATGTAAATATTCTTACAAAAACACGAATGTAAAAGTCAATACTGCAACTTAAAAGGGGTAATATGCGCCGCTGATATCTGGCAGCAGACGTAGATAAGGTGTATAGAAGAATTCGGAGGGCCTTCGTTTTTATTTTTTTCAATAATATTAGTAAATGATTGTATTAAATATGAAAAACAACGAAGGCGTAACAAACCATTTCGTGACAAAATTCTCCTCTAACAGGTATAGACCCATAATTTGCATAACTATGTAACGGTATTAATTAATGACGATCTTATTTATACCTTAAAATTTTTTTAAAGTTAAATACCATTTTTCGGGATAATTTGAACCAGTAAGATTGGCCAAGTCAGTGCATGTTATACAGAGTAAACCTATTGCAATATTAAAATTTATCTCTGCATCTGGAAAACCATCAATATAAGATTTTCAAACATAGTTACCTCCATCCTCTACAGCTTGCACCACTCCATCAATAAATGGTGATGCAGTTCCGTATGGATCAAGGTCTATAACGTCAAATCGATCTGGATGTTTCCGGTGTTGATATAACACCGAACTTTAAATAAAATTTAGCAAAGAATAACTTTCGTTTATAAAACTCTCATTATAAAATATACGATATGCTTACCAAGCATCACCCTGATTCGCTCTTACCAGGTCTTTGTCCAATTCATTATATTCAATATTTCTATTTATGGATTCAACTGCATCAGAATCTAAATCGTTGGCTACAATGAATTTTATATTTGGGATTTCCTTTGCATAACGAATCGAACGCAATCCGCTAGCGGACAATGCTTCTAGAATTGTAAAGTTGTAAGGCTTAGGCTGTTGAGTATTGAGTTTTTAGGTATCTTAATTCATTTGTATTTCATTTAATTTTCATTTTTTTTTAAAAAAAAATATAATTTATGAAATCTTACTTTTAAGTCGGCTATTGCCATATCAAAAGAAAAAATTTTGATAATATTAAAAAATAATTTTAACGAAATGTTAATGCATGAATAATTCGTTACTTACAATTAAAAGCCCTTGTGTCTCGCTGTTTCTTTTTCTGTGCCTTGAGTTCCTTTTCTTCTGAATAAATTTCACTCCATGTTCTTATAGCCGCAATAGACATATCCCGATTAAATTGCTGAACATTGTTATAAAAAACTTCATTATTCTTTGGGAAAAGAATGCTCGCTTTCCCTTCTGTAATCTCAGTAAATTTCTCCTTGTTTATCGTAACCATATTAAAAGTGGCGTGTCTATTGTATGTGTGGATATTCCGTTTTAAAAAAATTCTGATAAAACGAACAATATCTTTTAAATTGTAAAGTTTTTGAGACATACGTGAGTAAACTTTTTGCATCTACGTTACGTTACACGATATTTCTTAAATTGAAGTCCGTGTAACCAAATATTATAATCGTGATCAAAATTTATAAATTAATTTTTGTAATATTAGCTAATAAAATTATATACAGTTTGGGACAAAAGTTTTGTTTACATTTTTCTTTTTATTTTTAATTATAATTCAATAATTATTTAAATAAATTTAATGTATAGTTGTTTCCAAAAGTTTGAACCTACTTACTATGTTTTTATTATAAATTTCAATTTTGACAATTTTTAAATCCTTATTTATACAATCAAAAATTATAAAATTCATATATATTCTATCTTAATACAATTTTATTTGTTGTATTTTTTTCTAAAATTTTTTATATATAAATTTTAAAGTTTTAATATTGTTAAAAATTTTTTCTTTATCAAATTTTTATTTTTGAAAGATTTTAATTAAATGTTATTATAAATTATATAATAATTAATAAAAAAATAAAGATATTTAACAATAATAAACTTTAAAATAAATTAATAAAAATTTTTTTAAAAAAATATAGAAAATATAATAAGTATTAAGACATAATATACAGTATATGTAAATTTTATAATTTTTGACTAGATAATTAATAATTTAAAAATTGTCAAAAAAAAAAATTTATAATAAAAATATAGTAAGTAAACTTAAACTTTTGTAAACAATTGTATATTCAAAAATATAATGAATAAAATTGCTTAAAATTTTTTTCTTAAAATTAATTATTAAAATTTTATTTGATTATAATTTAAAAAAAAATTTAAATTTAAATATATTAAAGAAATTTTATAATAAAAATAAAAATAAATATATATATCTATTAAAATTTTTTATTTATAAAAAATTTTTAGTTATATAATTTATCTAAGTTTAATTAAAAAAAAATACCAATTTAATATTAAACTACTATTTTTAAACTTTTCAAAAATTTTTAAAATTAAATTTATAAAATAATAAAAATTTTTTTCATGCTAGCTCATTCTTATATCAGGATAAATATGTTTTATTAAAGCAAAAAGATACCTAGGAACAATCAGAATAAATAATTATCTATGCTACTAAGAATTTACAGATTAACGAATAGTACAGCAAACTATTTATGTATCACACAACCAGGATAAGATAAATACATAACTATCTAGTATAGTTAAACTATTTACTAAAACAAAATAAAAAATAACATTAAGTAAAGAAACTTTTAACTATATTATCTTCAAGACCATACTGATACTCCCTAAAGACATAACAAAACATGATCCACTGAACAGCTTATCACTACTCCAAATTCTATAAGGAGGAAGAGCTAATATAACAAGAATTCACCTATAGTATCTATCAACTCTAATATTATGGATCTCTCATATGTAGCCTTAACTTTACTAGCACTAACCAAAAATTTTTTTATATTGTACTACTATCAAAAGAGTATTTGAAGAGAGAAGTTAGTTTCTTAATAAATCAATAGGGTTGTTTTTTCAATGTATCAATACCAGGTAACCAAAAACTTTCCTAAAGGACTCTGCACCTTGTGATTTTTTTTTTCTGATTATATTTATTAGATAAGGGAAGGAGGGGTAGAGTAAAGTATTGTTTGCTATCCAATAAGTCCTAATCCAAGTTTCTTTATTCTTTTTATATAACTAATAACTTCATAAATTTCATATCTTATATTTACCCATGTGACTAGCATGCAACTTTGGTAAATCCCAGGTTCTTATGGGAACTAAAGAAATACATTCAGACACATGAGGTAGCCAATAGGGGCTTGTTTACATCTTGAGTTACTGATATATTTCTATTGTTCAATTACAGCACTAGAAACTTTGTGCTACTCAAAATTTAGGATTAAACTGAAGTAGGCAAAATCCCTCAGAAAAAATTATAAAAAAGCACTATTAAAGTATCTATTATAACAAGAGAGTGGTGGGATTTTCTTCTAAAGAGTCTCTAATTACACCAAAACTCTGTAGTATTTATAAGGCAGTGAAAGGGTGATAGAAAAGTCAGTGTCACTTCCTTTCAAAACTTTTTTGCATTGATAAGAAGAGTAGTATTATCTTTCTGACTACTAGAAGGTAAGTTTTTCATAGCAAAATATAAAAAGAGATAGTGAAGTAGTAAGGTGATTCTTGGGAATCTTGTTTTCAAGTTGGTTTAAGGAAAGTGATAAGACTTTATTAGCCTTAAAATATAAAACTTCATGTGAATGTCTTTTTTGTGTATGATTAGAAAATCAGCAATAAGAGTTTTTTTGTTTTATAAAATAAAAATTAAATATATTTTATTAAATATATTATTATATAATTAAAATTTTGATATAAATTACTTTTTATGCTAATTTTTTGACTATACACAAAAAAAATATTTAAAAGATATTTTATATTTTTATGCTAATAAAGTTTTACTACTCTTCTTAAATCAACTTAAAGAAATATTAAGAATTATCACTAATTTTCTTTCCTTTTGTTTATATTTTTTTTTTCAATTAAAACTTGATTTTTATTAACTATAAATATTAAGAACCATCTTTTTTATCAAAATAAAAAAGTTTTAAAAGGAAGAAGAACTAATATACTATTATTTCATACTATAGAAAAGTAATACCGAGTATTAATATAATTAAAAAAATTTTTTTATTCTTTTAGTTACTAAATTTACTTTAATAATATTTACTTTTAAAATTTTCTGATAAATTTTGTTTAACTCAATTTGATTATGAATTTTGAATAGTATAAAGTTTTTTATGCTATAATTGAATAGATGGTTCATATTATTAAAAAAAATAAATAAACTTATATTAATTACTTTATATATCTGAATATATTTTTTAATTCCATAAAAATCTAAAATTAATTATAAATTATTGTAATTAGTACAAATAGATATAGAACACAATTTTATATATATTATTAATTATCTTGAGTAGTGTTTACAATTTTGATCTGAATTGATTTATTCGTAAATTGAATATGAATCAGATCGAATCAAATTTCTAAATTTTTAATCTGATCAGATTCAGATTGAATCATATTTTAAATTTACAAAATTATCAAATTCAAATTGGATTCAAATCAGATTTGAATCAAATTCAATATAATTTAAATTAGATTTTTTTTTTTTTTTTTTTAAATGCTGGCGTAGTCATGCCAAGTAGCTTTTATTTAATCATTAATATTCCCTTATGT